ACAGCGAAACCCCACTCACTGTGGTCGAGTTGCACTTGTTTTTCGGGGGGGGAGGCATGCTCTCTTCATCGGAAGCAGCATCAGAATTAATTGAGTGCTACTACACTAGTGTGGAACTGTTGTATGCCGTGCGAGAAACAAATCCCGTTCGTGCGCTTCCGCGGCGAAATGGAGCCGGTAGTAGTTAGTGTGGTACAGTAGAGATGATGCAGTAGATGTGCATTTCCCTTATTTGCTTTTCATCTGCAGTAGATGCCCCTGGCCCCTTTTAGTTGTTTTCATGGTAATGTGTTGAAAATGCATGTATGTCTAATAGTTGCCCCACACTCGATCTCTTAGTTAGCGGTTTCCCGCGCGTAATCGTAAAATAACTATTTACCTGATACTTGAAGAAGAATGGAACCACAGAGAGAGCTCGAATACCCAGTGGCTTTCAGCTCAATACGCGCGCAAACGATCGCCACCGACATCAAAACCAGACTAGGGAAGACCTCTCGCAGTAGATGGCTACACGCGTATGTATGTATATCTTCAAGGGAAAGCGTAGTACTTGTCTAGCACATTCCCTCCTGTCTGTTTGTCCATCATATACATACTTCGCAATGTGCGCAGACGCGGGGCGTGTCGGTTTGGCGGAGGGCGAGGGTACTCACTCATTGTCTGCCGCTCAGACCGTACACCTCACTCAGCAGGGGGTAAAAGCATCCCGGGTTTACACCGGGCCGGGTTCGCGTTGACCAGGCGCGCAGCCGCCGGGTTATATTGTTTTGGGCGAGGCGCACGAGGTGTGAGAACTGCATCCTACCAAGAGTGTTCCACTCCGAAAAAAGTGTGGTAAATACCGATTGAATCTTGCCGGGTCACCTTATTATTCGGTCTCACAAAAAAAGTTCCGACAAAGTGACTGCCATAATTCGTCTGGGCGCAGGCCGTCAACATGGACTGGCGTGACGAAGAACAACAACCCAGAGCGAGGGTGGGGTGAGGGTAATTGGACCCCTAAGTTAAGATATGCAGACGCACCCAGCAACCCCGAAGCTCCCACTGCAGAAGATGATGACCATACACTCGTTGAGCAACGAATGGGGCGGGGGCGGGGGGGGGGCGCAAGGGGGTATCAAGTGCAGTTGCGAATGCTGCAGTCTAGGACACATGGGATCACGCTCCTAGAGATATCTCTCGAGAGCACTCTGCGTGCCCCCCCCCGCCAAAGACAAAGCAAAGGCGACACCCTTTGTTTCGGGCATCGTCGCGTCAAAAGACGCAGGAAGAAGACGCAGGAAGAAGAAACAACTCCTTTCTTCATGGGCTTTCATTCTTCATTGATGTGAAGAAGCAATTTAATTAATTCTTCATGCCCTATCCTCACAAGATCATCATCGATACAATACACACCGTGTGCGGGACAGAACCGGTAAGGGCGTTCTCGAAACTTGACAACGACGAGGGTGAAGCGAAGAGAGAGGAGAGCTACGTGTGGTAGATGCGAACCTGCTGGTTGCTGTGTCTCGGAGCCCGCCCAAGGACACAGCAACGGGAACGATGGGCGTACGAATGCTCGAGCCCCTTGCAACCATCAAGCGCCTGACCTTCGCATTGACTAAACCAGCGCGACGGGAAAGCAAAAAAAAGCACTGCGTGTAGAAACCCTATGTGGTGAGCGAACACCCTCCGCAGATACAAAACACAGAAGCAATCTCTCGACACCCTTGCGCTCGTTGCATGGAGCACTGCTATTGGTGCCATCCTTCCGCCTAGTCGCGTGCTACCTTCCTCAGACCTCGTTGATCTCGGGGCAAAAAATATACAATACGGGTGTCCCATGCTTGTCCCGCGCTTTTTGCCGGAACGGTCACGGTACCCTGGAACGGCAGGAGAATATGTAGATACCGCACCGAATTTTGCTGGGGGCATCAAAAACCGTATCTCTTTTTCGAGACTGCAAAACGAAAAAGAGCACGCCCTTCGGCGTTGACATGTCGCTATTAGACGCTTTGGTCCACGTCGATCGGCGAACGCCATGACGGGCGCAAGCCGCGCACCCCTGGCGGAAGCAAGTGCTCCAAAGCTTCGAGGTCGATCACTCCTCCTCCACCGCACCAATCTCCGTCTCTACGCATGCACATGATCCTGCCCGCCCTAGCAAGCTCCTGGCGCCCCGATCGAGGGCGGCACAATCAAAACCACGCCACAGCGGTGACACACGGGTGTAGCATTATAAAGATAACGCTCAGCAACGTTCCGGTGAAGCGAAGCCAACGCTCGCTCATTTGACCGATGGCCAACCACAGCAGCGAGGAGTGCGACTGGAAGCAAGTAGACTTCGAGTGCCTAAACACAAGCTAACATGACCTTTCTCCTATTGGTGACCCCGCCCCAACTCCGTGGCAGTTGTACGAACCTCGAGGTACAACCACACCCGCAACCACGACGTCACCAGCAGCGGTATGTGGCAGTTTCAGCAGGCGATCACGCCTACGCTATTTACCACAACGGTAACCTTCTAGATAGAGAGAGAGATAAAACATGGCCGGAGTTTTCTGACTTGGGGGCAATTCTTTGTATGTACCGAAGCGATGGCATACGACCGATTGTACGGCAAAACACCCCACGATGCCACCATGCCACCATCGACAACCTATCCCGCAATAACAGCTGTGTTGGAAACCGGTACAAAAGGGCTCGAGTCCACAGCCACAGCTGCTGCGGCGGCAGCACCAAGCACACCTCGACATACACGAGTTTTCTTGCTCTACAACGCCGTGTAGCGCGGGAAAAAAAGCAACATCTAAAACAAAACTAATTGCGACGCCAGCTGCCGCCAGATTCCTGCCGGTTGCCGCCCCGACCCCCGCCCTGCGGGTACTGACCCCGGTAGCTGCTGTCCCCGCCGCCTCCGTTGCGGTCGTTGTATCCTCCCCTGCGCCCACCCTTTTTTTACAGGGAGGAGGGGCCGATTGGGGGATTGGGAGTGGGGGGTGAGAAAAGGCGGCAAGAGGCACAAGAGACTCGACAAGCGGGGTGAAGCAGTGACATACTGCTGTACCCAGTTTTACGTACCACCTGCCTGGGCGGTTGAAACGCAGACACCGGAATTCCGGGTTAACCGGCTACAGTCATGGTCCCGGTTTAGCGGTCCATAGTGTCACAGAATGTTCTAACCGCCATTGAGGACATCGCCGCTAAACCGGATTGGCAGTCGTATTGCAGTTTGAATACCGAGGTGCAGCCATGCCACGAGATTTTGGGACCGCTATTCAGGGCATCCTGCTGAACAGGGAACCAACCGCTAAACCGGGACCACCACTGTATCGAGACTTGAGCCTCCCCCCCCCACTAGAGAAAAACCCAACCACATCTTACGGGGGCCCTTGCTGCCTAGCGTCTCCTTCCTTGAACATCATCGCCAACGCCGTCGTAGCCAACAAACAAACACCGCCATCGGAAAGCCACAAAATAACGCCGCGCCATCTCTCTACAAAACCAGGAGAAAGCAAGCACCGCTACCATACCATGTAACAACACCATGACCACGACCACGACGACGACGCACCATGTGACTGCTGCTGGAACCACCGCCCCCATCTCCAAAACCAAGAAAAAAGCACGCACCGCTATTGCAAACAATCACACCACGACCGCTCCGTATGCCACAAGAGACAGCCCTCGAACCTCTCAGGCGGGGGACGCACGTCTGACTGACTGACTCACCATGTAACTGCTGTAACCGCCACCGCCGCCGCCCCTGCCCCCGTAGCGCCGGCTGCCCGCGGAGAGGGCTACGCTGGTCGCGCCGAAGGTTTCCGTGTTGCGCGTCCTCTCCCCGCCGCGGCCCCCGGGCATGTGGCCCCTCCCATCAAGCGCGTCGCACGAGATTTCGTCAAAAAAGGAAGACTGAAAAGAGGGAGGGGGGACGAAAGACATCGAGCCATATGTGTTGGGGAATCAGACGAGATGTTGTTGGTGGCCGACAGGTGGGGGAAAGGCGCACATGATTGTATGACACGAGTGGGAAATGTCGGCGGGGCCGGCAAAGGAGTGAGCAAAACATCCTTCGGAGACGACAAAAACATGTTCTTGTGTTGATAGCTTGGGCCAGAACACACCTACTTGTACTCAACAACGTTGCCTTGTTTCTCGTGTTGATAGCCCGGGCCAGAGAGAACACGCGTGAGTGTACCTAACCACGTGACTTTCGGTGGTGGTCGGCGACCACCACCGAAAGTTGAGACCCCTACCAAAAGCCGCCTCACGACAATGCCGAGCTCACACACAAGCTCACTTACCTATCCGAGACTTCGACGCAACACCCAAAACGTAAACACAAAACACCAACACCAAACACTACATACCAGCCAAAACACCCAACACACCTTGTTGTACTTCTTCACCACCACGGGGGGCTCCACCCACACCTCCCCCCCCCCGGCAGCCATGA